CCCCCAGCCTCCCTTGGGAGGGCCAGATGCCAAGCGGGGCTCAGACCGAGAGGCGGCGAGCCAGCCCTGTTTCCAACGTTCCCTTCCCCTTTCTTTTTGCCGTGGCCGGGAGGCTGCTGAGCTGGTGTCTCGCTGGGCAGCCAGGATGTCGGGGAGGCCCATCCCTCTGGGGCGAGGGCCGCACCCTTGACCTCCAGCCCTAACCTTGTTTCAGGAAGGCTTGAGTCATCTACAAGGTGCCAGGTGCCTCCCAGAAGAGCCAATTTGGCTGGAGGGTCTGGGGGTGGGCTCCGGGGACTGTGTACCCACCAAATGCCAGGCACCCTCCAGCGCCCCTGCTTCCCCTGGGTGGAGGGCCACCATTCCCACCAGTCAGCAGCCCTGGCCAAGGCACAGGGGCAGGCAGCGCCTGTGCTGCCCCGAGGGCCACAGCCCCTTCTCTGGGAGGTGATGCTCATTAGGGACGTGGCCGTGGCTCCTGGAGGCCCCTCTCTTGGGAACAATATTCCTGCTCCCATTGGCCCCTCCAGGTGGACGAAATCCTTTCCCAGGTGGAGCTGCCCGGCTCATCCCAGGCCACTGGATTTGCATGGGAGGTGACAGTTTCCATCTACTTAGCAAATGGTTTAATTGTCCCACCTGGTGGCACCAAATGTCCCGGCCACCTGGCCCTGGCAGGAGCCCTGCTTGGCCGCGTGGATCCCCAGGCCAGCCTTCCTTTCAGGAGACAGTGGACTCGCCTTGGTGGGTGTGGGCAAGTGGTTAGGACGTGGAATTCCTTTCCTGGGGAGAGGCCAGAGGCTGCCTGTGGATTGCTGGGCGTCCAGCCTATGGTCTGGCCTCCTGGGGACAGGTGGCCATCTCTCAGGGGTGAGCTCACAGAGGGTCCCCACCATCGCTGTGGTGCTGGCTCCCACACCCCCGTCCTCTGTCGGTAGCATCGGGTGGCAGCTCGGGAGGCGGGGGCACAGGTGTGTTCACAGTTACACACACGTGTACCTTGTCCCTGTACAGTGGCTCCTGGGCAGGCCCGGGGCCGCTTGCTACACATCTGTTGTCGCTGACCACAAAATCTGCACACAGGGATCAGGCCAGCCAAGCTGCCCTGGGATGTTCTGGGTCCTCCCTGGCCTACTGGCTCTGGAAGGGTGGGGACAGTGGGCCTCACGGTAAGGCAGGGTAGGGGACGTGGCT